GTCAGGTAATTAATTCAACCCGATGCTCTTTTTTTGGTTGTTAGTACATTTGCAAAATATAGAATACAGTAGTTTTGGGTAGACTGGAAAGCAATAATTATTATTAAAAAAATTACGAATCGAACAAGTACGAGTGAAAGGCTGAGTAACCGAACCAGAAGTTTTCTCAACTCAAAATAAGAGCAGTAACACATAGATACATAATATATATTTTTATAAAACTTGATGCTATAGACAACATATTTTTACTTCGTATATTTTCTAAATTAATAATAATTATAATAGAATAAAATGTACTCTGTTAATTCTGAGGTTAATTCACCAAATCACTTTTTATTGTTCACGCGGTACAAGGCTTTCCTCAAATGAAATAATAGAAGTCTGCAAATCTGTACGCAATTACGCAATACGCATGATCTTAAAAGTAATTATAATTATTAGAAAAAGTAATTGTAATTGGAAAAAGTATTTGTACTTATAGAAGTAATTTGTAATTCGATATTTCAAATAATATAATTACAAATTACAATTCCTATAACAATTTTGCTGCAATTACAGTTCCAAATTACTTTAATAAAAAAAGTACTTAAATACAATTACAGGAAAAAAGGGAATTGTAATTGCTAATTACTTTTTCACCAGGAATTACCCAGCTCTGGTGCAAATACGGTTTGACTATATTGAGTCGATTCTTTATTACAGTTTACAGTAATAGGCTATCCTTAAGGAAATTAGGTAAATTTTTTCTAGCATTTCTTCTACCAAAAGTAATTAAATAACTTATTGCACTAAATAATTGACTTTAGTTAACAGTCAAAAAGTTTGTGGCTAGAAGGACCCAAGTAAAAATTGTACAACGGTAGCTAGAGCGAGACCCATTTTGTGTCCAGCATTGCAACAGTAAAAATGCCTTTTACGTTTTATATTTTAAAAGTTAAAACTGAAAATCGAGGGATGGTGTTACTTCGATTTTTTAGTGGTAACTTTTTAAATATGAAGGGAAAGTTTAAAGACAAAATTATTGATTGAATTTAGTTAAGAGCACATAGTTATGGCAAAAAATCAGTTTATTAGTGTCACTTATTTGAAGTGAAAAGGTATATTATTAGAATAACCTAACAGTGACAAAAAATTTTGTTAGGATAAAAAAACGTGCTACAGTTGCTGTAATAAGGAGCTGGGATTGTAACGACAAATAAAAAGGTAGCAATTACCAATTTTCAGTATTGAATGAGTTGAAGAAATCTTGAATGTGTGTCCTAAGCATCAATCAAATTAAAAAAATTACTTACTAAAATGGTAGTGACCATTCATGCTGCGTTTCACAGACACTGTATCCATCTCGGGGTATGTTTGTGATTTAGATAAAACACGCTTACAATAATATGGCTAAAATCATCTTGACTTTGCATCTTATCAAGGAATAATGGAAATGATTAATATTTAAAGTGTGCCTTATTACGTTATATAATTTGAGAGGAGTGTTGTCAATGTACCACTTGAGAGAAAACTCCAGATTTACAATATGATAGAAGCAACAGATCCAAAAATGACGGATTATTTGAGAATATAATAGTTTTTTTCTTAAAAATGCCAAAAATGCAGTGATCCAATTTACAACATTTTTAGTGATGTAAAAATTAAATCTATTTTATATACAGGGTGTCCGGAAAGGTCATGTCAAAAATGAAGGGGTATACAGGGTCAAAATGGATGTAGTACTTTTTTCATATCGGGCTTCGTTGTAGAGTTATTCACCTTCAAAAAAAAAGTTTTGAAAAATAAATTCCAATTAAAACTTCTAAGTCGTTACCATGACACCAATAAAATTGGGCAATTAAAGTAACTCATGGTAATGATTATTTCAAAGTTTAAACTGGTATTCAATTTATACATCTTTGACAGCATTGCCAAATTTGAAATTTTTATTTCATAGTTCGATTTCTCTCTCAATTTGCTAAAAAAGTACCTATACCAGATATCAATCGATATCTTGTACCGTTTTTGAGAAAATCGAATTTTACGAACAACATGCATTCAAATAAAAAATGTGATACTAAAATTTTTGTAAAAATCTTGGTTTCTGTAGAATTAAAAGAAAAAAGAAAACTGTTAAGTAATATGTTCAATATGTGCACCTTGAACTTCAATGCATTTTCAGAAATTGCTCAATCATGTCGGCGTATGTAACTATGAGATTTAATAATTCTTCCCTACTATTTATAGGAGTTTGATAAACAAGACTTTTAAGATGGTCGCAAAGAAAAAATCGAGAGGATTAAGATCGGGAGACCGAGGCGGCCACGGAAAAGAACTATCTCAACCGATCCATCGATCGGGAAATTTGGTATTTAATTTATTTAATTTAAAGGGACGTCTTCTAATAACATATGTAACTGATCGTGTTGTATTATTAATATTAATGTTTCTAAATAATACATTCTTTCTAAATTTACCAATGCAGCTTTCTATTGTCTTGATAAGAATGCATATTACGATTGAAAAGTATATAGCATTTTATTTTTAACACTAGTGTTAATTTTTTTACACTAGTGTTAAAAATGTTTTTGACAGGTAACATTAAAAGTCAATTTTTAGTTCACTTGCCAATGAATTTAAAATGTCAACTTTATTGACAGTTTCACAAAAAAACATATGTACGAATTAGGAAAATGAATTGGACAATAATACGATTAGCACGTGCGAATTTTGGGGTCACACTAGCCTGTCCAGCGGCGAGGTATGAAAATTACTAATAAACGGTTTTAAAAAAGTCAGTTTCTACGACAGCATTTGAGAAAACAAGTTTGTGTATTTATGTATGTAATTCTAAAAGTCAAAGGTAATCTCCATATAAATATGAATGCCCGTTTAAAGTTACATCTATACAATCTATACAATAAAATGTACTGTGAAACCTGAATAACTCCATAAATATTTGCCAGCACTTTATTAATTCAATTAAAGTTATTTAAAGATGAGTCCTTGAACATCCTACGTGATCAATGATAGACATTTTATCATCGATGTTTACCTATACCTATGAATTATTTATTTTGAATGAAATAAAATAGATAAAAACAAATATGTAGATTCAATCTGTCCTGAGTTAATATGCAAACAGATAACGAAACAGCAAAATGTTGTTTTATTTATACCTCTTCAAATACCTTTAGAAATAATGTACCACAAACTGAAAACGGATATAAGTAATGACAAAGAAATATGACATCAGTACATGTAATAAAAATAAAATCAGAGCATCGCTTTAAAAAGCCAAATCTTTGTAAACACACATTAACGTCAAAGGCATTATCTATAAGCCTCCCATATAAGTAGGCTTACAGCCGTTTGATGCCTATCAGTGGTTGAAGCTCAGGTACTTGTGAATATGTAAAATTATCTTATTCAAAACAACGCTATTTTTACAAAACTCATGGTACGGTGTTCAGTTTGTGGAGTTGCGCAATTTTTACGTAGAAGACTGATGGTGCGAAATGGAAGTGTGTTCGTCCAATTACGAGAAATATGGCAATTAATGGCAGAATTAAGACATTATTTTCAGTCTGTAAGAAAATAATTCAATAAACCTTCGAAAAGCCATACATGTAGCACAAATCCTTCCAAAGTAAGCTGGGAAATTACCATTTCGCGACTTTTTGTTTCGGCAAGCTGAATTTATCACTATGGAATATAGATGCTAAATAATAAATAATGTACAATAACACATTAGTTTCCACAGTCATAAAAATGGGGGGAAGATTGTTTACAGGGTAGTTAATTGTATAATTTTTACGTAAATTCACGTTATTCGCTTATAACCTTTTTCCGTTCATTTCCATGAGAAAACAGTAAGGTACTTTTATTTTCGTCTTCAAAAGACCTACAAAACTAACCCTCGAGCGTCAAAAAATATTGATTAGATCAAAAGTTATAAACAGAAGAAGTTTATTTATGACTTTTGAATTAAACATTTATAAACTGCGTTATTATTACCAGAACGTTTTGGTATCGCATCCTCTCATTCCTTATCACTGTCTAATAACTCACACGAAATCTGGAATCTGTAAGTGAATAGTTTACAAGTTATGACCTTGTAAACAAATTAACTAATTATTAGTCTGGACGATCCCGAGGATCTTCCACAATCGCACTGATATTTTTCATGGTAGATTTCATAATAATACTGTAGTATAACAACCTTAGGTTCGATAAAACAAAAATATAAGTAAACGTAGTTGTGGCCAAAAATATGTGATCGTCATAAGGAATCCCTACGTTGTGTGTACTTATTTTTTTATTGACCGGAAGGCGCTGGCTACTAACTTTTTTTGAGGGGAAGTATGGTTTAATTTTATAAAAACAAAAGCAGAGTAAATACACCTAACTTTTATTTACATACAGCAATCCTCAAATAAACATGTGACAAATATAAAGAACAACAAAAACATCAACAACCATTTAACATAAAATGAGAGTGCCAGGCTCGCCTAGAGCTCCTGTGGGGAAAGAGCATGGCAGAGAAACCCACGATCGTTGATCTTACCACCCAAATATAAATACAAAAACAACCACTAACCAAAGGCATAAATTAAGATTACTAATGATAATTAAGACTGAACTTATTTAATTTCTCACTAAATGTCATCTCATTCAAATTAGACATACACACTTCCAAGTAAAACTGAAGAGGTTATGTGTTAGTTAGCCGGCAGGGCCGGAAGGTACTGGAGTCCCATACGGGAGGCAATCCAGCTATAGTTGAGATTTCGGAAGATCCTTCATAACACTGGAGTCCCATACGGGAGGCAATCGAGCTTAATCCAGATTCGTTCCGCACGGGCGAAAATGTTAGTAAACTCAACAAGGCTCGTATAGACGTGTGACATAAAGTGGACACAAGAAATCAAAGAACAACCTGATCTTGTTTAAAACAAGTTAAATGTGAAATAAAGAAGTCGTTATTGTACTATCTGGGCGGTCTCGACAAAATACATATTTGAACATGTCATAAATAATGAACAATCTTAAATAATAATTGTAACAATTTTATATTAGAAAAATATACGCCCCTAAGCGTAAGACAATGAAGG